AAGAACTCAGAGAGTAGCTGGGTTTAGGGTTTAGGGTTTAGGGTTTAGGGTTCAGGGTTTAGGGTTTAGGGTTAGGGTTTAGGGTTTAGGGTTTAGGCTTTAGGGTTTAGGGTTTAGGGTTTAGGGTATCCCGGGTAAGCAGAGCTTCTCAAGACGAGCATCTCGAGACCTTTGAGAGTGGCATGCTGGTGGTGGTTGCAAGGGGTGGTGGTATGTTCCGGGTACATGATGTTCGTTACAGACGCCAGCATGCATAAGCACTTTTTGGCGTTTACGAGATCCCGGCCTCAGCACTCTGGGCATCTACTTGCTGGTAGTCCGCGTAAGTAGCAGTTGGCAGTAAGTACGTAGTCGCTAGACTGCAGCAGACACGGAGGAAGTCCAGTCATCCTCGTCCTCCTCCTGCTTCTCCTCCTGCTTCTCATCCTGCTCCTCCTCGTCCTCGTTCTTGGTCATCGTCGCCGCCGTCGTTTCCGCTGCCGTGGTCGTCGGAATATCCGCCGTGGAAGCCACGCCTTTGAAGCTCTTGTGAAAGTGTAGGCGCTAGAAGCTTTTAGTAAGCTTTTCAATTCGGTCCAGGACAAGTAGAATCAAGAACGACAGTGCCATCTGCTGGTTCCGAGTCGAAGTCGAGTTGTATGCCATGGCAGCAAGAGAAACGTAAGCTGCTGCACCCAAAGCTACTCAGCAGGATGGCTAAAGCTTTCCTGATGAACACCATCTTGCCCGTCACGCAGCCGAACGAGATTACCTGGACGCTGCTGTTGAGGCCGGAGCCCACGGCTGATTTCGAGTGTCAGGGTTTGGTTGTTTCCGCACTCCTATTGTAAACGTATGCATTATCGCAAGGAGCATTGGGCTGTGTTTTCCAGGCTTTGGGGTATATCGTCGTTGGTATCGCGAGACACTTGGGAATTCCACGAAGCTTGCTGAACATTCCTGAACTACTCGATTTCACCTAGCCCGGTGCGTGGCTCATAGTTTGTGCCAAGCAGGCTAACACTGGCAGAATTTCCTCTGCATCTGGCTTTGTACGGAGTGCAGGATACCCTGTATGAGCGCGGTGAAGTATGCACTACAGGCAAGGCCGTTGCCTGGTCTTCGGGACCCTGCTGAAGACGGCAGATGAACTTAGTGAGCATAGACTAGAGAGGGGGTTGCAGCAGAGAGGGAGAGAAAGAGAGAGAGAG